CCACTGTCTGGGAGGACCCCCTGAGGTCTCTGTGTCTCTGTCATTTATGTGTGGAGATCTGTGTGTACGTCTTCATATGTAAGTGGCACATGTGCTATGTTTTCTGTAGTGCATGGATCATGTCTGTGTCTGTGTGTTAGTGACTATGACTGTCCGTGTGTGCTTGCATGTGTGTGTTCCTGTCCTAGTGAGTGAGTGCATGACTGGCATGCCCATGTATCTGAGTGTATCAAGATATGCCTGCACTTTTGTGCCGGTGTGTGCCCTGCGTACTTCTGTGTCTTGATGTAACTGAGTGGCATTGTCTGCAGTAGGGTTTAGGGCAGTAACTTGTGTGGGAGACACAGCACTGGTTCTACATCTGATGCCTCCCTGCTTCATTTTTCTATTTTAAGTGAGTCCTTCCTACCTCCTTCAAAGCAGCACCCATAATATCTGGGCCTCAGGAAAAGGGTCCTGCATCAACAGAAGCAGGTCAGTACCCAAGAACCCCAGTCCTGTGCCAGACATTTCAAGGGGAACTGACATGAGTCCAGTAAACATATCTCCTCATTGAAAGGAGTTAGGAGGTGGGGGGTTGAAATTTACTAAGCACCTATTATTTGCTGGGTTTTGCTTCAACCATTATACCATGAGGAGGGCATAATGATCCATTTTTAGAAAAAAAAATGGAGCTCAAGACATTAAGTAATTTCCCTAAAGTTTTACTTGTAATTTCCTTTGTATGTGTTATTTATTCTCTCTAAAATTATCTTCCACCCTGACTGTCCAGTGAACACCTTCTAGCTGGCCTTGCTCAAGTGCACCTCTTCTCTGGAGCCTTCCCTGACTGTCGAGAGTGTTAGGGAAAACCCCTGTGCAAGACCAAGGGTCAGATGGGAAAAGATAACTAAACAGTTGTCCTCAGAAGCCTCATCATCTAGTGGGGAAGATGAGCTTCACAGCAGAAGAAGTCACTTTAGTGTCAGCAAAGGAGGGCCGAGTTCCAATGAGAGTTACAAGAGACAGAGGGGAGAAGCAGATGTGGGGGCTGCAGAGTCTAGAAAGGGCACGGGGCTTCTGGGAGGAAGTGGAACCAGAGATGAATATTGGAATAGGGTAGAAAAAGCATTCCAAATAAGGTAGAGAGGGCAGGGGAGGCATGTGAGAAAGCTGTAAGAGGTAGCAAAAAGGCCAGCCTGGCTGGGGTCAGGGGAAGCAGCAGCCTATGGAAGCAGCTAGGGGGAAGACTGGAGAGAATACCAGGAGCGATGTTGGAAGGCCTTGGACACCGGGCTGAGCAGTCTGCACTGAATCCAACAGGCAGCAAAGAGTCTGTCTGGGCAGTAAGCTGAGTGGGAAGAGCATGGCTCAGGAATTCCCTGCAATTCTGTCTCTCTGCCTCTCTCTACATGGTACCGTTGTTGCAGCCCACAGGAAACACACTGAAGCCTTTGGGCTAAGATGGATGGTCACACACCTGTCCCCAAGACTGGGGACCTCTGGCCAGGAGAGAGATCAGCCCACAGACTCTGCAGAAGAGACTGAGGTCTAGCATGCTGCCCTTCAGGTGAGAGAACCCAACGTTTCTCTGCTATCTTCTTACCATGAGTCCTGTCCTCCTCCCACCCCATTCTCCATCCACTCTGCATTAAGTATTAAGGAGGAAGAAGCCACATTTTAGCTCCAACTCTCCCACACACAAAAAAATATCTTCCTTTGCTTTCACATTCTCTCTCCCCAACCTGCCCTGCCCTTTCTATTCCCAAGTGATCTTGTACTCATTCTTCCTAACTTAATTTGAGCCTCACCTCTTCTGTGGGATCTTCCCTATATCAGCCAGGCAGAGGAAATCACCCTCACTTTGTTCATACAATTAATGTTGTGCTTATTCCATTGTGCACAGCTGGAGGTCAAGGACAATGGCTGCCTTACCTCTGTAGCCCCAGAGCCCACAAAGCCTTCCCCCAGCAAGCACTCAATAAATAGGCATGAATGGTAGGCTTGAGCCATTTTATTGACCCAGGGAACTCCACACAGATCAACCCCAGCTTGAACATTGTGCCCAATTCCTGCTAAGAAAACATTGACAAAGCAAAGAGTGAATGAAAAAGGACCGGAAATAAGATCTTGTAAGAAAGGATCTAAGGCTCCAGTGATATTCAGGTTGAAGAAAACATCTGTAGACCCAAAATAGATCCCCTTGATAGCTATATAAAAACAAACAAAACAAAACAGACCCCAAAAAACAAAAAATGCAGAGAAAGTAGATTTGACACGTGTTGTCCCTAGAGGCCAAAATTGGTGTCATTTCTTGCAGAAAATTAGTTTTTTTTAGTTGAGATTAAGAAAAACAACTAAATAACTATATCCCTCCAGTACTGGACTGTACCATTCCAAGAAGCCATAGAAAAAAACCAGTGGATTTCTATATAGGGGAAAAGGAACCAAGATCTATCAGCATCCATTCTCTGCTTCTCCTTGTACCTACATTGCCTCACTTAATCTTGACATCAGTCATGTAAAGCAGCAATCAATATCCTCATTTCTTAGATGAGATGACTGGAGATTAAATGAAGGAGGATCCATGTTTACACAGCAGTCAGGATCAAAGTCCATGTGGCTGTGACTTCACAGCCAATGCTCTTTCTGCTGCATTACACAGCTGCCTGAGGAGGGGTTGGGAAGTGAAGGTCAAGGTCAAGGGTAAAGGAGAATAGTGCACTGAAAAAAAAAATGAATAGATTTGAGGGGTGCCAAAGTCTAGCTCTTCCATGCTCCTATTCTGTGATGGGCCAATGAGTAAGGCTTGCAGAAACTAAGGGGGTGATTTCTCTGGGATGGCTAACGGGTGACAATGACAGAGAAGCAGAAAAATGAAATCAGGATACATCCTCTCTTCTTTATCCTCCCTTCATTTCTGTTTATCACTCACTGCTCCTCAAAAAAATCTAATTCAACAAATATTTTCAGATGCATTTTGTATATAGCTCACTGGACAAGGCAGGGAGATGCAGTTTCTTCCTGGGAGGAGCTTTTTTGTCAGGCACTGACTTGGTCCATTTTCTGAGATCTGACCAGTTTTCCTGGCAAAGGGTGGGCTGATCAGCTTTGTAGCAGGACACTTGTAGAGACCTTAGAACAACAGGAGATTGTGGTGTTTTAAGGAAGAAATTGAATGGGAGACAAAATGAGTGCATTATTTCTGAAATCACTGGAGTCGTTGGCTAAGTGAGAAATGTAATAGTTTTATGTACAATCAATTTTACACACAGAGATAAGAGCAAGAATAAGCTTTGCCCAGGGTCTCAGTGTCATAATGTGGATGCTTTACTCTTTCTAGTCCATGTCTTCTCTACCAACAATTCCATACAGTCTCTTCCCACTCTCAGGAGTACCCTCTCCTCCTACACCAGAGCATGTCTATTTCATGAACTCCTATTCATTCTTCAGGGCCTGATTCAAGTCCCACCCCCTTTTTTTTTAATTCTTCCCAAGCTCCTCCAGGAAGAATAATTTACTCCAATGTAGTTCATGAAATTAGAAACATACTAAGATACTCAGCATGTTGCTCCAGATCTAACTGAGGGTAGAAGCTGAGACTCTTCCATCTTGCAGTCTCCCACAGTATCCTATACCGGGGTCAACAAATCATGTCTGACTGGGAAAGTCCAATCTTCCACCTGTTTTGTAAATAACGTTTTATGGCAACATGGCCATGGCCATACATTTACTTATTGTGGGCCACTGCTTTTGCACCACAAAAATCAGAGTGGTGTGGTTACAACAGAAACTGTATGGCCCACAAGCCTAAAGTATTTACTACATGATACTTTACAGAAAAAAAAAAAATGGTTGATTTGTGAATTAGCACATAATGCGTGGTGGAAATGAATGGCAAATACAGTAAGGTGTCTGGTGAAGAGATTTAGATTAGTATTTATATGGCCTGGGTCCTGACTCTTTGATTAAATAGGTGATGATGATGATGACAGACTAATGATGAGTAGACAGATAAAAGTTATACAACTTATTATGTGTCAGGCAGTGTGCTAACAATTTTAAATTTACTATTCACTTTATCCTCATTACCAAATCCAAAGATAGAAACTAGTATTTTCCTCATTAAAGAAGAAGGAGCTGAGAGGACATACTACCTTATTAGTAAAGTGAAGACTCAAAATCAGGTATGACAACAAAACTTGAGACTTCCAATCATTACCTTAAAACACCCTTGTGATATGTGGTTTCTTCATAAAATTAGGATCATTCAGTGAGCAATGTGGTTTTCAATCTGTTTTAGCAAGCAAAAATCTAAATTTTTGTAAATACTCTGTGATCCGGATGTGTAAAAAATTTACATATGGAACCTCAACATGCAGGAAGTCCCCCTGGGGTTCCTCAGAACTTAGACCTGCTGTCTCTTCTTACTTCTCAGCATTCCCACCTGGTCAGGTACTCCATGGCTCTGGTCAACCTCACATCCGGCCCCGAGTTCCTCCTCCTTGGCCTGATGGATGACACAGTCGCCCATCCAGTGTTGTTCCTGCTCTTCCTTAGCGTCTATCTGCTCAATGCCATGGGCAACCTGAGCATGGTGGTACTGGTGAGGTCCGATGGGGCTCTGTGCTCCCCTATGTATTACTTCTTGGGTCACCTGAGCTTTGTGGATGCCTGCTTTACCACGGTCACGGTCCCCCGACTGCTGGCCAGCCTGCTCCACCCAGCTCAGGCCATATCCTTCCAAGCATGCTTTGCCCAGATGTACTTCTTTTTGGCTCTGGGCATCACCGAAAGCTACCTCCTGGCGGCCATGTCCTACGACCGCGCGGTGGCGGTCTGCCGGCCACTGCACTACACTGCGGTCATGACACCCTGGCGCTGCAGGGCGCTGGTGGGTGCGTCCTGGGCGGTGTCTCACCTGCACTCGCTGCTCCACACCCTGCTCATCTCCGCGCTTTCCTACCCCCACTCTGCCACCGTGCGCCACTTTTTCTGTGACATGACGGTGATGCTGAGCTTGGCGACCTCAGACACGTCCACTGCAGAGACTGCCATCTTCTCCGAGGGCCTGGCGGTGGTGCTGACCCCTCTGCTTCTTGTGTCGCTTTCCTATGCGCACATCCTAGTCGCGGTGCTTCGAGTGCGGTCGGCAGGAGGCAGTCGCCGTGCCTTCTCCACCTGCGGGGCCCACCTGGTGGTGGTGTCGCTTTTCTTTGGCTCTGTCCTGTCTGTATATTTCCGACCTTCATCCGCCTACTCTGCGCGTTATGACCGCCTGGCCAGCGTGGTGTATGCAGTGGTCACACCGACCTTGAACCCGTTCATCTACAGCCTTCGCAACAAAGAGGTCAAAGGCGCTCTAAAAAGGGGGCTCAGATGCCGAGCCGCACCCCAAGATGTGTAAGGACAGGTCTGGGTTCACCAGCACTTTAGTAAAAATACCCAAATCTAAGTTTCTCAATTTGGATCCTATGACATCTTATTTTTTGTTAAAAAAAAAAAAAATTAGACGGAAGTAAATATGACATGTTGATTATAGTGGTGGGTACATAGCAGTAAGTCCAATCCATTCAGTGTTGCCTGAGCGTTTGAACTAGACTTGACTTTAAAAAAACTGGGGGCAACAATCAAGGTAAGGCAAGGAAACTTTACCTGTTGGTGGAAAAGGGAAAGAAGAGTGTGAACAGCAAAGAGGGGTGGAGAGGAATGTTGGGAAGCAGGGGAGGTCTGAGGAGTTTTTTCTACATTTTTTTGTTGGTGCATTAGAGTTGTACATAACCACGGGATTTATTTTTACTTTTTCATACATGCACATAATATAACAGTGTAATTTGGTCAATATCACTCCCAGCATTTCTCCCCTCCCTCCTCACCTCCCATCCCCTAGCCCTTTTTCTTTATTGATCTCCCTTTGATTTTCATGAGATTCCCACTCCATATTCTCTCTCTCTCTCTCTCTCTCTTTTTTCTTTTTCCTCTCTAACTTCCACAAATGAGAGAAAACCGAGGACCCTTGACATTGACCTTCTGAGTTTGGCTTATTTCACTTAACATGATGGTACCTAGTTTGCATTCATTTTCCTGAAAATAATATAATTTCACTTTTTCTTTATATCTGGGTAAAACTCCATTGTATATATATACCACATTTTCTTTACCCATTTATCTGTTGATGATCACTTAGGCTGGTTCCATAGTTTGGCTATAATGAATTTTCCCTTTGAAAGGGTATTAAGGAGGTTTTGTTGAATGTACTGTAATACAGCCCTGCAGACTCCTCCCCAGGAAACTTCAGTAAATATCTAGTTATTTTAAAAGTATTTTAAAATTTAAAAATTTTACCCCCTATATTATACCAACCACTTTCATTGTGAAAATTCAAAAATAAGGATAAAAATGTTCCTTTACCCATCCAAATCAACCTTCACTGCCATCCCAGTTGTCCCTTCAATCTCTCTCCCTGTCTCTTGTTGAAACATAAATAGTATCTTCCACTATATACTATTCTGCAATTTCCTTTTTTTTTTGCATAAAACAAGACATGTAGGAGATCTTTTTGCTACAAATAGAATGTATTCATTTTTAATCTCAGGTCCAGAATACTAGATCCTATATATCTTCTGTGGCTTATCTAATCATTTCCTTATCAAAAAGTGTTTTAATAAATATTTAAAAATGTTTTCCCACTTTTTTAGTATTATAAGGATGTAATGGATATTCTTGTAAAAAAATAGTGAGGAACAAGCACAGTCCTAAGTGTTTCATGCATCTATTTCAATCCATAGAAGTTTCCACAAAGAAACCATTTCTTCCCCATAGTATAAGAGTAAAAACAGATTGAGAGAAATCAAGTGATTGTAAGTTGTAAGTCTAATTCCTTTATCTCCTTCAATGATTTCTCGTCTATTCAATCCTTTTCATTGTATTGAGAAACTTTTAATAATATATAAATTCTTGGAGTGTAATTATGGCTACCTTTTTTCTTTTATTCATTTTAATTGTTCCTGTTTATTTTTTCCTTTTTAAATTTTGTGATCAGCATGCATTAGCTTTACATATTAATGGGTTTTGTGTGATGTTTCAATGCATGCTTACAGTATGCACTGAACAAGTCCACCCCTTCCCACTCTTAATTATTGAATTCCCTCATTTGATCTTCACTTGGCTCCTTTTCTATTCTTAGTGTTCTTTATTTATGCCTTTTCTCTGCTTTGTCTTGTTTTGCATGTTGAAGATTTCCCTGTTAGGTTAATCTTTTCAAAGAATATTTAGCTTAACTGATGCTAATTCTATTGGGGTTTTTTTGGTTTTCAGCACCATTGATTTTTTGGCTTTCATAGTTAGTAATCCCTTCCTCTTATTTTCTCCATGTTCTCCATGGTACTTTTTCTATATTCTTGAGGTTTATGTATCATCTTGACTTTAGGAGAGGGCTGTCTGCTGATGCCATTTTTGGATGTGACATCTCTTAGCATGGACAATCCAGGGCTGTTCTTTGGGGGATGGAGCTGAAGGCCTCCTGGGTCTCACTGGTCCTGCTGATCCTCCTGGAGTAGTAGTTATACTTTCTGTATAACTACGTGGCTTGGACTGCCTCTAATGTGTGGATGACATAAATTCTAAACCAACACTAGGGCGTTCGTCCTGGTTCTTAGGAGCAAGTGTTTCCTTCCCCTTCATTCCTCAGACAAAGAGGTGAGCTTCCTTCTCATCTCTTGCTGCTAGGTAGGAAGTTTTAGGAAAACATTCTCATTGAATTTGCAATCTTGGAAATCCAGACTCCATGTGTGCTTCCAATTCTAGTCTCCAGTCCTATGTGTCTCGAAAGTTTATGTCCTCTGCCCTGTAGCACTCATGCTGCCAGGATCTTACAAGTGGCAGCCATGCCCAAGGCTGCAGTGTTGGCTTCTGAGCCCACCATCCCTCAGCCAGGTTCCTCCTTCCTGGATCCTGGAGGTGTTCTGTCCTTTTGGCCAGCCCAGACATGTAGCTTCATGTGTTTAGTTCCTAGAAGCAGAGGATTTTCAGGGTTGCTACTTCAGATATGCTAGAACCTGAAACACTTGCTGGAAGCTTCCAAAGCAGAGTCTCCATGTCTGCCTTGGTAGACTA